ATAAAGCTCACAGGGAAAGATAAATATATAGACAAATAGAGACTACTGTAACACTGGAATAGAGGTATGGAAATCAACTTTACCTCTAGCATAAAAGTTAAAAGAAAAAGGTATTACAAATATGTATAAATACAAAAATCTGCTAATGGAAACAATATAAAAATATGTAAAGTTTGACATCAAAAACATAAAATGGAGAGAGAGGTAAAAGTGTAAAGTTTTTGCATGTGATTGAAGTTAAATTTTTATAGGCTTAAAATAGAGTGTTATAACTATAAGACGTTTTATGTAAGCCTCATGGTAGCCACAAAGAAAATACCTACAGAAGATACACAAAAGAAAAAGAGAAAGGAATCAAAATATATCACTACAAAAAGTCAACAAAATACAAAGAAATTAAAAAACAGAGAGGAAAAGAGGAACAAAAGAACTACAAGATAGAAAACATTTAACAAAATAACAATAGTAAGTCATTCTCTATCAATAATTATTTATATGTATTACATATTACATAGTATATACTATATATAATAATTACTTAAAGAGATTAAACTCTCCAATCAAAAGACATAAAGTGGCTGAATGGATAAAAAAGCAAAATCCAACTACATGCTGTCTACAATAGATGCACTTTAGAATCAAGACACTAATAGGCTGGAAAGGAAAGGATGAAAAACGATATTCCTTGAAAACGGTAACAACAAGGAAGTAAGGGTGGCTATACTTCTATTTGTCAAAATAGAAATTAAGTCAAAAATTGTCAGAAGAGACAAAAACAGTATTTTATAAGGATGAAAGGATCAAACCATTAGGAAAATATAACAATTATAAATATATATGCACCCAACATTAGAGTACCTAAATATAAAAAGCAAACATTCACAGAACTAAAGAGAATAATACACAGTGACACAATAGCTGTAAGAGACTTCAATATCCCACTTTCAACAGTTGATAGAACACCCAGACAGAAAATCAATAAGGAAACAGCAAAATTGAGCAACACAATAGAAGAAATGCACCTAATAGATATATGCAGAACATTGTACTCAACAGCAACAGAATACACATTCTTCTCAACAGCACACGTAACATTCTCCAGGATAGATCATATGTGAGCCCACAAACAAGTCTCAACAAATTTAAGAAGACCGAAATTATACCAAGTATCATTTGTGACTGCAATAAAATGAAACTAGAAATCAATAACAGAAGGAAAATTAGAAAAGTCACAAATGTAGAGAAATTTAAAAACACACTCATGAACAAACATTGGGTCAAAGAAACAGTCAAAACAGAAATTAGAAAATATCTTGACACAAACAAAAATATTACAACATACCAAAACTTCTGGGAACAGCAAAAGTGGTAATCAGAGGTAATTTTATAGTGATAAATGCCTACATTTAAAAACAAGAAATATCTCAATTTAATATCCTAACTTTAAACCTCAAGGAACTAGAAAAAGAAGAGCAAACTAAACCAAAATTTAGAGAAGGAAAGAAATAATTAAGATTAGAGCAGACATAGAGAATAAAAAACAGTAGAAAATATCAAAAAAACTAAGTTTTTTTTAAAAGATAAACAAAATTGGCAAACCCTTAGCTAGATGAAGAAAAAAAGAGAGATTACTCAAATATATAAAATTATAAATGAAGGAGGGAAAATGAAAACTGATGGCACAAAAATAAAAAGGACCATGAAAGACTATTGTATGCCAACAAATTAGATAATCTATAAGAAAGAAAGAAATCCCTACAAACATACAACCTACCAAGACTGACTCATGAAAAACTAGAAAACCCGAGTACACAAATAATAAATAAGGAGATTGAGTTAGTAATAAAAAATTTACCAACAAAGAAAAGCCCAGGACCAGACGTCTTCAGTCAATTCTAACAAACATTTAGAAAGGAATTAACACAAATACTTCTCAAACTTACAAAAAATTTAAGAAAAGGGAACTTTTCCAAAATCATTTTGAGTGGCTAGAATTATTCTGAAAACAAAGTGATACAAAGACACCACACACACACACACACACACACACACACACACAAAAAACTACAGGCCAGTATCCCTGATGAACACAGATGCAAAAATCTTCAACAAAATAGTGGCAAATTGGATTCCAGTACATCAAAAGGATCATACACCACACTAGGTGAGATTTAGCCCCCAGAATGCAAGGATGATTCAACATAAGCAAATCAATTAATGTGTACATCACATTAACAGATCAAAGGATAAAATCATATGACCATCTCAATAGATGCAGAAAAAGTGTTTCACAAAATTCAACAGCCTTTCATGATAAAAACTCTCAAAACTAGGTATAGAAGGAATTTATATCAACACAATTTAGTTCATATATGAAAAGTCCATAGCTAATATCTAAATTGCTGGATTTATGGGCATTGAATTGTTTGTAGTACTCTTCTTATTTTAATATTTGTAAGAGTAGTAATGATGTTTCCTCTTTTATTCTTGATATTGGTGATGTTTGCCTTCTCATTTCTTTCGCTTGTTCCATGTGGATAGAGGTTTTCAATTTTAATGGTTTTTTTCAAAGAACAAGATTTGGGTTTTATTGATTTTCTGACATTTCTTCAATTTTCATCAATTTCTACTCTACTATAATCTTTCTTTTCTTTTTCTTTATTTAGGGTTAGTTTGTTCTTATTTGTCTAGTTTCTTAACATGAAAACTTACATTACTGATTTAGATTGGTTTTTTTTCCCCTAATATGAGGATATCATGCTATAAGTTTCCCTCTAAACAACACTTTTTCAGCATCTATAGATTTTTTAATTGTGATAAGAATACTTTACATGAGATCTACCCTCATAACAAATTTTTAAATGTTCAATAAAGTACTGTTAAATATAGGCACTATGTTGTACAGAAGACCTCTAACATTTATTCATCTTGCATTACTGAAACTTTATAACCATTGAACAGCAACTCCTCATTTCTCCTTCCCTGCAACTACTGGCAACTGACATTTTACTGTCTGCTTCCATGAGATTGACTAGAGGTTGTGATCAAAAAATGAAAATGCCCTTAAAAAATAAATAAATAAAAATTTTTTAAAAATGAAAATACCCAAGGCCTATGAGGAGCACGTCATAACTTGAATAGAAAGGTGTTTACATAGGATGCTTGTTTCAGAATTATCTATCAACTTGTCTATAAATGTTTCATGCATTTTTCTATTATACATGATATATGTTAAAGAAACTTACTCTGTATTATTTTAAAAGTATTTCAATTACTACAAAAATTCAATAAATGCATAGGACAAGGTCTGAGAGGACGCTTACTAAACTCATAATAGTGGTTATTTTGCAAAAAGAAATGGCGCAAAGTGCTTAAGTTTGGCTAAATGGGTTTTCATTTCATCTGGATTATTTAAACTTTTTACAGAAATATACTCATTTATGACTTGGATAATTGATAGAAAAAAGCAATACAAGTAAATAAATGAGAAAAATCAATTTAAAAAATATTTAAGAAACAACCCTATTATATAAAAGAGGTGTAGTGGGTTGAATGGTGATCCCCAAAAGTATATGTCTGCATTCTAATCCCTGGAACCAGTAAATTTGATCTTATTTGAAAAAAAACTTTGTAGATATAATTAAGAAACTCAATATGAGTTCATCCTGGATTATTTGGATACACCTTAAATCCAACCGTAAATATTCTTACAGGAGACCCATGGAGAGCAGAGGAGAAGGCGATATAAAGATGGAGGCAGAGATTGGCGTGATATAGCCAGAGGGAATGCCAACAGCCAATAGAAGTTGGAAAAAGCAAAGGATTCTTCCCTAGAGCCTCCTGATGGAGCGTGGCCCTGCCAACACCTTGGTTTTGGATTTCTGGCCTCCAGAATTGTAAAAGAATAAGTTTCTGTTGTTTTAAGCCACTCAGTTTATGGTAATTTGTTATGGCAGACTCAGGAAATTAATATAAGAGGCACCGTCTATTGTGAATCTTATTCCACAATACAATGAAAGGCATACAATATATTAAGTATATTGACCCTAAGCTTAATCTTATATTTAAAAATATACTTTCAGAAGTATTGACTATTAGTAGTATGGTAATATTTATTTTCTAAATATTAAGAATTATTTAAAGCAATGTATCTTATGCCTTTGCTTCAGCCCCTTTTCTACTGTCTGTTCTTTTCATAAGTTTCACACAAATCATTTTCATATTTAAGTTAGAACTTGAGTATTTGTTTAAAAGACTTCTTTAACCAGTGGTGTGCTGGTAAATGTTTAAAATACGGCTCTCTGGAAGGAAAAATAGACGGATTTGTAGAATATGCTGATTTCTGTGGTGTGAATACTCCCACCTTGGCTGATTTCAAGCTACCCAAGCGATGTCCTCGAATGTAGAATTGAGAAGTGATGAGTACAATCTGCTCTCTCAAGCTTGTATGAATAAGCTTTAGCACACCACTGCATCTAACTAACATAAATCACACAAAAAAGTCAACATATGAAAAATATTTTCACTCTAAAGCTAACTTTAACATATAATAATGTTAACATTATCTTTATCATATAATAAGAGTAACATATAATAATGAATATGCATCCATTTCAAAAAGGAGTAAGAATCTAAAGCTATTGCTATGTCGCAATTTATTTCCCTCTTATACAGGAAGTTTAAATCTGATACAGGAACTTAAAAAATCCTCATAATATCAGAGAAGAAATAAGAAAAAAACTAAAACTAATAGAAACTACATCAACAAATTTTTGCTATCATTGGTTAATTCAAAAATCTTTTAAGGAAACCAGACAACTGAATATAAAAATATCAATTTAATAATAAGAAGGAAACATTACTTAATTAGGAAAGTTTAAAATCTGGGAGGAAAGATTTCAATTTCCTTAGAAGAATATTACAATTTAGTCCATGGAGAAAGAAGGTAAATTCCTTGAAATAAAAAAAAATCTTTTAAATTAAAATAAGAAAACACTAACCTGGCTTCTTTGTTTATTTGATCACCATATCCCACTGTTTTCACAACAGTTAATTTCAATTGAACATTGCTTTCCTGAAGTTCAAGTGTCTGAATTTTAAGTCCAACATTTGAGTAAAAATGTGAGGATTTTTTGTCTTTCAAATTAGTATTAAACAATGTGTCAATCAGAGTTGATTTTCCAATTCCAGTTTCCCCTGTAATAAACAAAGATACATCATCTAGGGACATAAGATGGCTGAGAATCCCTAGAGTGGTTTAAAGGGTCCCAAAAACTTCAAAGACGGGGATGTCCTTGGAGGTATACATGCTACTCCTGAATCCCTCAGTCATTAACATAATATAGAAAGGAAATATACACAAAGGTATATCAGATTTTGAAGAGCACTGAAACATTTAAAGAAAAAAAGTATAAGTAATATAGCTAAGAAGATGAAAACTAATACAAATATAAATACCTGGTCTTGAATTAACAGCACCAGTGTTATGCTGCTTAAGATAAGTTGAAATGATCGTTTGGGAAAACTAAGAAATAATTCAGATGAGGCATTTGGCACTTACCCACACAGAGAATATTAAAAGAGAATCCTTGTTGAATAGATCTATTCACTAACTGATGAGGCAAACATTCAAAACCAAAATGACCAAGCATAGTTAAGCAACGAATATTATCTTCTCTTTGCTTAAAGAAAAAACAAATAAAAAGATTTTAATTAGAATAGGAAATTATATCATTTGAAAATATAATAATATGTCAAAGAAATTAGAATTGACTATCATTTGATTACCATATCTCAGACAAGATGCAAATAAAGTAAATTTGTAAGAAAATAAGTCTTTGTCCAGACACATAGATTTTGCTATCATGTTTATA